CGATTCTTAAAACACTCTTCCTTGATTTGAATTTTCATAAATGAAAGGGCAAAGTGGCTTACAAGGGCTTTGAAATTGGGCGGATCTGGCCTCAGCTCTGAGTCTCTGCTTCTTCATCCATAGAATGGGAATAAACCGACCTTGCAGATAAGAATTCCTTTTAAAGTAAATAAAGTATCTGCAACAGATCCTGGAACTTAACAGGCCATGCATAAATAGATGATAACAGTGCTAACAATCTCACTTGCAATGACTGGAGAATACTGGGAGAAAAACAAAACAAACAAAAAAAAAACAAAGGCCTCTTTCTGGTCTAGTTTCTTGCTTAGGCACGGGCTCTCATCTTCTTATCACATTCTTATAAGAAAAAAACAAACTTTTAAAACCTTCCCCTTCTCTGTGTGACTTCCAACCTGTACATTCTTTCTGAGCGTCTAATCTGAATTCCCGGAGCCACCATGCTTGTAACTATCCGAAACCGGAAAATCCAGTCATTCTTGATTCTCCACCTACATATTTAGCCAGTTACGGAAATCTACCTTTGATGGCTTGCTCGCTCTCCCTCTCTCTCTCTTTCTCCCTTCCCTCCCTCTCTCCTTCCAACAAATATTTACTGAACACATACTGTGTGGCAGGCACTGTTCAAAATAATATTGTATGTCACATGCTACGTACAATGGGAAAAAAAATAATGCAGACAAGACAGATAATGCAGGCACATACATTGGGAGAAGTTTGCTACTTAAATTAGGGACCTAGAAGTGGTCAGGAAATGAGCCTGGGGTAATAAGATTTTTGGTAGAAGAAAAGCCCCCTGGAAGCACATAGGTAAGTCTAGAATTTAAGGGAGAGGTCCAGAAAGAGATATAAAATGGGGAGTTGTCAGTATACAGATAATATAAAACTGTGAGAATAGATGAGATCACCAAATGCAAAGAGAAAAAAAAAGAGGTCCAGAGACTTATCCTCGGGGTACTCCAGGGTAAGACAAGGAGATGAGACACCAGACAAGGTGAATGAGAATGCCAGCCGGTAAGAGAGAAGGCAACTAAAACACACAATATCCTAGAAGACAAGTGAATAAAGAGAAGACAAGGAAAGGGGGGTGATTAATTGAATGAAACGAGTAAGACGAGAAGTGGGAACAAGATTCTGCAATATGAAGTCGCTTGTGACTTAGTGGACTTGTGACTTTAGTGGAACAGTTGGACAAAAAGAAATGAAATAAAGGAGGATTCAAGAGAGAATAGGAGGATGGAAATTGAAAACAATATCTACGGATTTTTTTTAAAAGAGGTTTTGCTGAATAAGGGAACAGAGGAATGGGGTTGTAGCTGGAAGAATAGGGATCAAGAAAGATTTTTGTTTCATTTTATTTTGCTTTGTTTTTTAGATGAGAGGGATGACAGCACATTTGTACACTGAGAGGAGTGATCCAATAGATAGGGGGAAATTGACAGTAGAAAAACTAATAGGGGCACCCGGCTGGCTCAGTCCGTTAAGCGTCTGACCCTTGATTTCAGTCCGTTAAGCGTCAGACCCATGATCTCATGGTTTGTGAGTGTGAAGTCCTCGTGGGGGCTCTGCGCTGACGGGGTTGAGCCTGCTTGGGATTCTCTCTCTCCCTGCCCCTCCCCCTGCTCCCATGTGCACTCTCTCTCTCTCTCTCTCTCTCTCGAAATAAATAAATAAACTTAAAAAAAAGAAGAAGAAGAAAAGAAAAACTAACAACTGCACTGCTTTTGAGTGCCAAAGGGACATGAGTTTTAGTGTCCAGATGCAGATGTTGGTTTTCTCATAGACAAAAGCTAGGGCAGTTTATCTCTAGTAACATGAAAGAAAAGCTGAGCATATGGGTGCAGGTAGAGTACGTATGGTGCTGGGAATATGTGGGGCGGGGGGGTCTCTTCTCAGAGCTTTCACTTTTTTCAGAAAGAGGACTCAAAGCCATCATCTGAAAAAGAAGTAGGGGTATGAAGATTCGGGAAGTGTGCAAAGTCATCGAAGAGACTGGCTAGATAACAGAATGGATGGATGACTGGGCTAGGGAAATGAAGTAGAATATCTGGGCAGAAGGAACAACTCTCTGGAGGTTAGCGGTCACGAATTGAAAGTACAGGCACTCCCGAGTGACTCAGTAGGTTGAACGTCTGACTCTTGGTTTCGGCTCAGGTCATGATCTCATGGTTCGAGGGTTCGAGTCCCATGCTTGGGATTCTCTCTCTCTCTCTTTCTGTCTACCCCTCTCCCCTGCTAGTGCTCACTACAAATGAGTGAATGAATGAATGAATGAATGAAGCACAGCTAGTTGCGTGTTTTCCTCCAGCCACGTTTGAATGCACACCGCCACCACAGAATTGGTGGAGAATTGTATTCCAGCGGGGTTAAGGTTTTGTCAGGTAATTACTATTAGAAAGTAGGAGGAAGGCAAGGGAGTTGAACACGTATTCAAGAGGAAGCGATTCTAAAGATAGATCATGGCATTGACACATCTTTATTTGTTCTCTCCTGTCAGCTCACACTGACCTTGCTCTGTATCAGGTGCTCACTAAGGCTAACCTGAACTGCTCGAGCTGTTCACTGCCATGATAAGCTAATCTCTCCTCACCAGTTACTGTCTGCACACGGTTGGTGTTCATTTTTGTTGTCCCCATTCTCCTCCAAACTCCTTGCCTTTAAGAACCAGACATTTCTTACAACATTTCTATTCCGAAGCCACCACTAAACTGTATACGATGCTACTCCTAGAATTTGTATCTGCTTTAACTCTATTTGCATGGATCATTACATAAACGTATATCAGAACATTTATCAAATTATAACCGTGCAACTGCCTTTCCCCTCATTTTCCACTAAAATGTGAGCTTCATAAAATCTTTTTATGCGGGACCTAACACAGTACCTGCAAGAGAACACACTTGATATGGTGTGATATGGAGACATGAATAAGTGATATTTGATTGCCCTTGGGCCTTTCTTAAACTCCATTCAGTGGCATTGAAATATCTGTTAACTATGACATATTCTTATAGGTCACTACTGCTGAGCATATGCTAGATCAACCAGGCACATGATAGAAGGCTTACCACACAACAGAGTAAGTCCCCATGTCTTCCCTTTACTATATAGGAATTCTTCTTTATGAATATTGTATACACTTTGGACCATATGTTAACTTTTTTAGGTTGTCATGCTATACCAGAACCCCAAAACGATTCAACTTCCCCATTTACTTACATAGACTAAGGGGCATCTTCCGAACACATTTTAAAACTGACAATCTAAAAATTTCAGTATCAGAAAGCATTTTAAAGAATTTCATGCAAACTAAAAACTAAACTTTGGAATACTAAAAAGTTGACTTATTACTCAAAACATTATTTCTATAATATTCAGGGTTGTTGCCTATAAAATTTAGGTAACTAACTAATTTAGGGTCACTCAGGGGCAGTACCTAGTGCATCCTTGTAACACAGACCCAGGTTTTCCTTGAAGAAGGATTACTGGAGGTTTTCTCATCTATCTGTGGACACAGAAATGCCCCCTGCCATCTAATTTTGTAGTCTAGTCCCAAAACTCAATAAATGGGTTATGTCCTAAGGCATGGCCAGAAACATTAAATTTGCTCCATTATTACCAACAATTTCCTCATAAAGCAATTGTGTACCTAAGCAGTTCTGCCAAAGGAAAGCTTGTAATTAATGATTAAAAAGCAAACAAACAAACAAACAAAAAATGCACAATAAAACAAACTTCCCTCTGTTTTATTTCTCTCTCACGCAGACACAAACAGGCACATATCCGAATAAATTTTTTTCCCAGAGAAAAATCAGAACTCAATTTCTGATAATACTGTTTTCAATGCATACAATTTTATTACCCAAAATGAACTTCTCTCTAGAAGTCAGACTACTTGTAAAATAAATTATTAAAAGGTATGATCACGGGGGCACCTAGGTGGCTCAGTTGGTTAAGCATCCGACTTCGGCTCAGGTCATAATCTCGCGGTTTGTGGGTTCGAGCCCCGCGTCGGTCTCTGTGCTGACAGCTCAGAGGCTGGAGCCTGCTTCGGATTCTGTCTCCCTCACTCTCGGCCCCTCCCCTGCTCACACTCTCTCTCCATCTCTCAAAAATAAACATTAAAAAAATTTTTTTAAAAAAGGTATGCTCATGGAAAGTGTTTCCTTAATAACTGTCAACATGAGGAAAATTTAGTTCTGCATAATTCCCAACACAAAGCTTAGGCATTATAATTATCCTTTTCTTTATGTTAGAGGGATAAAGAGCCACATTAAAGCTTATTTTAGCGTTATTACCGAAGTACTAAAAGTAGCAAAGGCCATGAGATCTATGACTGAAAAAAAATTATTTACAATCTAAAAAAAAAAAAAATAAAACAATTGGACTAAAGTATTGATAAAAATGGAAAATAAAGGTTAAAGCACATTCCTACAATATTACTCTTTGTGACATTAATTAATATCCGATGTTTTACACAAACACATTAAAACAATTGCAAAACATTTCTTATGTTGTTTTGTCTCCTTAGCTAGCATCAAAGGTAATATAATTTACATATAATATAGAGATCAATAAATATTTACCAATGACCATTCTGCTTTTCTCAGAGAATACATCCATTGTTCATAAAATCATCCTGTTTGTCAGACTCAGTCACTTATAAGTTTTCCAGGTTTGGGTGGGAGAGGCAAAATGAATACACAATAGTCCCCCCTAATCTGCAGGGAATACATCCTAAGACCCTCCAGTGGATGCCTGAAACCACAGACAGTATGGAACCTTATATATACTATGTTTTTTCCTATATATACATACCTACGGTAAAGTTTAATTTATAAATTAAGGCATAGTAAGAGATTAAGAACAATAACTAATAACAAAGTAGAACAACCATAACACTATACTGTAATAAGTTATGTGGATATCGTCTGTCTCTCTCGGAATGTCTCATACTATACTCACTTTCTTCTTTCTGTGAGGATGTGAGATAATGAAATGCCTACGTGATGAAACAAAGTGAAGGAAATGACATAGGCAGTTGATGTAGCCTCAGGCTACCATCGATCTCCTGACTGTACATCAGAAGGAAGATCATCTGCTTCTGAACTACCTCTGACTATGGGTAACCGAAACCATGGAAAGCGAAACTGTGGAGAAGCAGGCTGGTACATTGAAGGGTTCATTCTGGCCCTTATTTCAAGAAATTGTTACCACCCTCATTCATTACTTAAAAAAAAAAAAAAAGTTTTTATTTATTTTGAAAGAGACACAGAGAGAGCGGGTGAGGACCAGAGAGAGAGACAGAGTATTCCGAGCAGGCTCCACGCTTATCACGGAGCCTGATGCGGGGCTCGATCTCACAACTGTGAGATCGTGACCTGAGCCGAAATCAAGAGCCAGACGCTTAACTGACTGAGCCACCCAGGCACCCCTGTTACCAGTCTCATTTAAAAGGATACCCTTACTAATTCTTTTCACTGAAGGAGGCAGTTTGGTTACCTGTTACCTGGTGGTAAAGCCCCCTTTACCACCACCAAAAAGCTTTTGCAATTGTAACTTAAAACCGACAATCCTCTTCTGTCCAGTCACCAAATGGGATGAAATTGTCACCTTTATACTTTCTCTCCCCACACACTGAAGCAGAGCGGTCAACATGCTATAAATCATGCCATCACTGACCCTTAGCTGATATTATTATGTATCATGCTTAGTGTCATAACAGTTTCGTGTTCAGGATCAAATTAATTAGCACTGGAAGGACCAAAAAAATTTAGCTAGTTAAAATTTTTGTCACGTAGCATTTAGTTTGTTTGGTTTCATTTGTTTTATGTTTTTTTTTTTAATTTTTTTTTTCAACGTTTATTTATTTTGGGGACAGAGAGAGACAGAGCATGAACGGGGGAGGGGCAGAGAGAGAGGGAGACACAGAATCGGAAACAGGCTCCAGGCTCTGAGCCATCAGCCCAGAGCCTGACGCGGGGCTCGAACTCACGGACCGCGAGATCGTGACCTGGCTGAAGTCGGACGCTTAACTGACTGCGCCACCCAGGCGCCCCTGTTTTATGTTTTTAATACTGAGCAACATGAACTAATCTGTTTCCCTTAGGAATGAGTTCATAAAAAAAATCCACCACATCTAGAACTAAACTCTATTTAAGGAAATCTAGATCCCCATACAATGACAGTGAAACTTTGGTCAGCCAATAATTACTAAAATTACGCTTTCAGATAAAAGAAGAAAGCTTCTTTCTCGACAATGAAAAAAAATCAAACCTCATCAATGAAAAAAAGTCTGATGTTAAAATAAACGTTTTCATTCAGTATCTATAGCATGACATGCACTAGAATTAACAGTGGGGACCAAAACCCTTGCTGAATTTATATGGAAGAGACGATCATAAAATAATCAAATGAGCCATAATAAGAGCTATAAATAAAAGGTATGAAAAGTACGACACAATACTTTAAAAGTACACTGTAGATGGCCATGACCTTGTTGTGTGTGTTTGTGTAGGGAAGTAGGGAGTAGGTCAGGGAAGGTCTATGTGAGGAAAGGGCTATTTTAGCTGAGAGCTGAAGGAAAAAGAGGAATTTCCTTGGAGAAGAGGAGAAGGTAACAGTCTTTCACATCACAGGAACTGTAGGTCTGATGGCCCTGAGGTAGAAAGGAATACAAGGAATTTGAGCAGTGAAAAGATCAGGGTGGTGAAATACAGGGTACCAGAATGTCAGAACAGGTAAACAGTGGCGCTGGAGAAGTGGCCAGAGACATAGGGTCATGTAGGCCCTGGGAGGGATTTTAATCTTTTTGGTTTTCATCACACAAGTGGCATTTGGATTGGTGTTTTTGAAAGACCAGTCTGAGCAATCAGGTAAGAAAAAGAAATAAAAGATATCTGAATAGGAAGAAAGAAAAAAAAGCATATTGTCTTTATTTGCGGATGTTATGGAGACAGGGAAACCGAAGGGACCTCATGAGGAAAAATTTTTTCCTTTGCTTCTTTTCTGGCTTCTATTCTTGCTGAGGCCTGCACCCCTGCCCTCCACAGGCCTTAATGTAAGTCCTCCTTATAAGGGACAAAGAGTTAACGATTTCTTTGGAGTCTTCTAGCACAACAGATAACATCTAAGGAATGACCAGGTCAGGCCGTCATGTGCATGTTCCAGACCACTGTCCCTGAACACCTTGATGCCAAGACCTTCTGGCTGTAGGGAATAAGTGACTTATGACAGACACCTGGATCCTGTCTTTGTTTTGACCAGTTCCGGGATGCCTGAGAAGACACGTGTACCAGACCACAAGCATCAATAAAAACCCCAGACCCCTAGCAAAGACTTCCTGTACTCCAACTGTACCTGCTCTCTCTCTCTCTATTCCTTCAATAAATTCTGCTTTCACCTCCTGACGGTTCAAGTTTGATTTCCATCCTGTGTGAAGCCAAGGGCCATCTTGGCTGGTCCTGTGTGACTCCCTCTGGGTCCTTCGACCCAGCCTGCCTGCATCATCTTGGCGACCACAAAGGGACCCTCAGAAGAACAGCAGTATCCTCAGATTGAGTCTGCAAAGCACAATTTGGCCTTCAGGAACCGGTAAGTTCCTCCTCTGGGAAACAGTTGGCTTAACGCTGATGTAATTTTTGTCAGTGTGTAACTGGTCCATTCTCCAGTGGGGAAGGGAAACTGGAAAAACTGGTTGCAAACCTGCTCTCTTACTCCCCGTTCTCTCTCAGCTCTGCAACTTTTTTTACTCTGGCTTCCAGACAACTTCAAGGCTGTTAGTTGTCGTGAGAGACTGAGTTGCTCAGCTCTGAAGAAGAGGGATGCACGTTCCTCCCCGCTGAAAGGTGTTCTTAGGCAAATAAGGGCCAAGGGAAGTATCACAGATTATTCGAGATAGATAGTGGTCCCATAGAAACCACCCCCTCCTACGACAGTAGTTTTTGGCTCGCCCCAGGAAGCACACAGGTGGATTGGTCATCCAGGGCTCTGAGCCCCCATGGTGGTTCTGGGCTGCCACTGGGAGAAACTGAAGCAGAAAAGAGTGGAAGATAGGCCCGCGGCTGATCCACATTCGATCCACATTCAATCCACAACAGGTTTTTTCCTAGAATAGAGTCCAAATCGTCTCTCCATCTCTCTCTTTTTCTCGCTCACTTGCTCGCTCTCTTTTCCACTGCCGGGTGGATGTCTCCTCGTGGCAATTCTGGGATGCTGGAATGGTGTTGGGGACTGGTAGCCAATCCCGCTGAGGACCCAAATCTTAGAATAAAGAAGTGGTCCTGGTGCCCCCAGTTGCACTGGGTTTTCCGCTTATAGGGATGACACATGGCAGGCTGGTCACTGCCACGTGATGTCTCCTTGTTGGATCGGGGAGGAGACATGTGGCAAGCTGGAATCTTTTGCACCCTCTTGCTCACTATGCCTGACCCTATCACTCTGCTATACCTCTTTCTACCCCTCTGAATTTTCTCCTTTTTTGCCCTTTAAATTGTTCTCCTTGCCACTACATAACTATATTCTCTGACCATAGTATTCTGCATTAGCGGGCTTCCCTATCCTTAAGAGATGATTTTTCCCCTTTTGGTTTCTAGGAAACTCCATGACTTCTATCCTACTCATTAGGCTGGGGCCACTGTGGCCAATGACTCCATGCTCTGCCTTAGATCTCTGGCATTGTGAACAACACTTTCCTAGAATCTTATCCTCCCTTTGTCCCAGCCTGACTCCTTGATTATGGTCCTCAAAGGGGGCAACAGTGAGCATTCCAACGGATTCCCTGTTAGGATGTCTGTTACATAATTAGGCACACTTTATGTTGGATAACTTGAAAAAGAAGAAGTTAATATTCTATTGTAATGAGGCTTGGCCCCAATATCCGCTTGGGAGACCAAGAAATCTGGCCAGCAAATGGGACTTTGGATTAGAATACCATTTTACAGCTTGATTTATATTGTAAGAGGGAAGGGAAATGGAATGAAGTGCCTTCTGTGTTACCCTTTATGGTCCTGTATCAGGATCCCAAAGGACAATATAAAGGCTGCATGGCCCCAATTCCTAAATCAGCAGAGGCACCTGACATCATGGAACTGACTCTGGTGTTTGATCTGACTTGGGGGAACCTACAGATCTTATTATTGTCTCATTGTGGCACTGTAGAGCAGGGAATGAGTCCGTGTATAGTTAAGCCAGTTATTTTGATAAGGGGAAGTAACTCAAGGAAAGGATGAAAACCCAGCTCTCGTTGGAGCCTCTCTGGAGGTCCTCTGGTGGAGACTTTCCAGAAGTATACTCATACAGACCCCATTTCTCTGGAAGAGCAGCCATTGTGGGTTGTGCATTCACCCTGCAATCTGCAGCAGACATAAGGAGAAAATTACAGAAGGCAATTACTGGGTCCCAAACTCCTAGGAACCAACTGTTGAATACGGCTTTTGCCATCTTTAATAACAGAGACAGGTCAGAGAAGGAGGATGAATTTGTCCAAAATAAATGCCATGCCCAGCTTTTGGCCGTGGCATTGGGGAACCCTGCACTCCAGGATCACTTCATGTGGAAGCCTGTGAGGCCAGAGTCTGGCAAAGTCTCACAAAAAGCCAGGCCCCAATCAATGTGCCTTCTGTAAGATGGACGGCCACTGGAGAAAGGATCATTCCCACCCCAAATGGAAGATGGGTCCAGTCCCAAAACCTCTATTGGCCAAAGTTATGGAGGACTGAAGGGGCCCGACCTCTCCTATGGCTCATCCCCGACATCTCAACATAACATATCAGGAGCCAGGAGCCTCGGGTGATTCCTCATGTAGCAAGTAAGGAAATTTAATTTTTATTGGACATAGGAGCCACTTACTCTGTCCTGACTCAACATAATGGGCTTCTGTCCCAGCACTCTTGTACAGTTACTGGAATAGATAGATAGATAGGTGAGACCATTTACTTGTCTACTAGCTTGTGGCATGGACTCGCTCTTGCTCTCACAAAGCTTTCTCCAGATAGCTAAGTGCCTTACTCCTTTACCGGGGAGTAACTTCCTTGCTAAGCCACAAACTGCCATCCAAATAGGACTGACAGAACCAAATGCAGAGAAAACAAAGCTTATAACGATGAAGACGCCTAGACAGGCCAGTGGGAAATAACATTTATGTGTCAGATAGTATACCACGCCATACTGCAATTAGAATAATACCTGATGCAATGGGAAACAGAAGTTCCTGGGAGAGCCAGTAATATTTCACCCGTTCTTATCTCCCTAAGACCACATGTAGAATATCCTTGGAAAAGGCAAAGACCAGAGACACAAAAAGGTATTTGGCCTCTGATTAAGAAATTTTTGAGGGGTGCTGGGTGGCTCAGTCGATTAAGCATCTGATTTTGGCTTAGGTCATGATCTCACAGCTCAAGGGTCCGAGCCCCATGTGAGGCTCTGTGCTGACAGCTCAGAGCCTGGAGCCTGTTTCAGATTCCACATCTCCCTCTCTCTCTGCCCCTCCCCTGCTTGTGCTCTGTCTCTCTCTCTCAAAAATAAACATTAAAATTTTTTTTTAAAAAGAAAAATTTGAAATATGGATTATTAACCCCTCGTCAGTCACCCCACAATACCGCCATTCTATTAGTTAAGAAGCCAAATGGGGTGAAATGCTTTATCCAGGATTTATGGTCTCTAACCCTTATGCTATACTGACTCCAGTTCCTCCAGATACAAACTAGTTTATGACCTTAGATTTAAAGATCGTGTGCTTTCTTCTGCACACGAGAACACCCTGACTCCAATCTTTTTGTTTCCACATGGACTACCCCTGATACTTGTGAGATTTCCCAGTTGACCTGGACAGGGCTGCCTCAGGGCTTCTGAGCACTTTAAAAAGGGAACTAGGGGATTTACAACTGATTAATGGAACGCTGCTTCAACGTGTGGATGATACATTGACTGCCAGCCCAACAGGAGGATTCTGACGAAAACACAACCCTCACCCTTAACTTTTTAGGACAGCGGGGGTACAGAGTGTCTCCCCAGAAAGCCCAGGCTTCTAAGGAGAAGGTTCAACATGCGGGCTACATTCTCACTCCAGAGGCACGGACATGGATGAGCCCAGGACAGAAAACTGGCCATACTGTATATTTGGGTACCTCAAACCAAAAGGCAGTTAAGAGCCTTCTTAGGCATGGTAGCTTTTTGTTGCATTTGGATTCCCGGGGTTGGCCTTATGGCCAAACTCCTTTATTGAGTATTACAAGGAAGTGAGTTAGAACCCCTGGAATGGAATGATGACTGCCACCAAGCCTTCAAAGGTCTGAAGAAAAAAAAAAAAAAAATGCTGAGCACTGCTCCTGTCTTGGGGCTCCCAAACCTGGGAAAGCCCTTCACCTTGCGTGTGTGAGAAAGGAGAGGAAGAGCCTTGGGCGTCCTAACTCCTAACTCAAAACTCAGACCTGTTGCTAGACCAGTGGCTTATTTCCCCAAACAGTTAGATCTGGTAGCAGAAAGCTGGCCAGGATGTTTATGAGCAGTGGCTGTGACTGCCCCGCTAGCTGGAGAAGCTAGCAACTTTATGCTAGGACAACATCTGGATGTCATGATCCCACATCAAGTCCAAGGGGTTTTAGAGGTCAGGACATGAATGGTTACGAGGAGGGAGATTTTTGAGGTATCAAGCCCTCCTCCTTGACACCCCTGATGTAACTAACCCTCAGGTTGTGTCAAGGTTTCAACCTAGTTACTCTATTACCCGAGGAAGGCAAGCAGGGGCTTCCAATCTATACCTGTGTGGATATTACAGAACAAATGTATTCAAGCCGGCCTCATTTAAAGAACAAAACTTTGTCCAACCCAGAGGCTGAATGGCCTCCAGACAGAAGGAGCTTTATGTATGAGGGAACCAGAAAAACCAAGTAGGCTATTATCAGCCAATAGGGTATGACCGAGGCAAAAGACTTCAGCACAAAAGCCCAAACTAATTGCTTTAATCCGAGCGCTACAACTACGTAAAGAGTTAAGTATATATACTGCTTCTAAATATGGATTCTTAATACTTCATGCTCATGCAGCCATCTGCAAAGAACGGGGACTATTAAATTCAAAAGGCTCCCCTATAAAACACAAAGAGAAAATGTTTAACATGATTAGGGGCTATACGGCTTCGTTAGGAGATGGCAGCTGTGTACTGTAAAGGACACCAAACAGACCAAACCACGATGAGTAAAGGAAACAATTTTGTGGATAGACTAGCAAGAGTGGCGGCAAGGAAGGAAGAGCTTGCTACACGGGTCTTAGCTCTAATTCCAGAAAACTCCTCTGCAAGAAATAAGCCCAAACTATACTCCCTCTGAGGCTCAATGTGCCTCACAGAGGGATCTGAAATGGATTCAAAGGGAAGGTATATATTGAATAACATGTATGTACTCCCCAAGGCATCGCAATGGAAAATAATTAAGCCTTCTTCCGCCACTCCCGGTGCTGCTTGTGTGCTCGCTCGGTGTGGACACAGTACCTCTTGGGGGAAGCGGCAGCTGAGGGGACGCCGGCGCTCTCCATGGCCAACGAAAAGCCCAAGCAAGAAGTCACGACTAAGAACAATGATCATATTAATTTGAAGGTGGCAGGGCAGGATGGTTCTGTGGTGTACTTTAAGATTAAGAGGCATACGCTACTCAGTAAACTGATGAAAGCCTACTGTGATCGGCAGGGTTTGTCAATGAGGCAGGTCAGGTTCCGATTCGATGGGCACCCGATCAAGGAAACGGACACACCTGCACAGCTGGAAATGGAGGACGAAGACACAATTGATGTGTTCCAGCAGCAGACAGGGGGTGGCTACTAAACAGGGATCCTGCCACTTTACTCTAGAACTCGGTTCCTCCAGACCAAGAAGATAGGCTCAATTAGAAAACCACAATTCGGTTCTACCACATCATGACTACTACAGTACAGCTTTCTCTGTTCCTTCATTGTCCTTTCCCCGTTCCTTTATTGTACATAGAGCAACTGTGTATATGCACAACCACATTGCATTTGTTTTTAACTAAACGGTCAATGGTATGTTTTGAGTGACATCAAGTGGGGAAAAATACTGGTTCCGTGAAAATATCCCTTTTCTCCATTAGTAGCATGCTCCTTCAGCTCTTATCTTTATATTCGAGTAAGTTGTTTTGCTCTCGTGGTTTAACAAAAAAAGAACAACATAAAAATCTTTGCCCACGATCATGCGATCGAAGAATTTTAATGCCCTTTATTTGTGATTGTGAAAGCAGTGATAATTTTATAACTTTTTTGTATGTAGGTATTACATGTAGGGCAATCTGTCTCTAAGTAAGGATAAACTACTCTAAAAGAAATGGATCCTAGGGGCGCCTGGGTGGCTCAGTGGGTTGAGCTTCCGACTTCGGCTCAGGGCATGATCTCACCGTCCGTGAGTTCAAGCCCCACATCGGGCTCTTTGCTGACAGCTTGGAGCCTGGAGCCTGTTTCGGGTTCTGCGTCTCCCTCTCTCTGACCCTCCCCCATTCATGCTCTCTCTGTATCTCAAAAATAAACACTAAAAAAATTTTTTTTAAAGAAATGGATCCTAGATGGTTTTCCCTTCAAGTCAAGGCATCTTGTTGTTTAAATAAACTTCTTGTTTAAAATGAAAAAAAAAAAAAAAAGAATTAAGCAAATACATGACTCCACCCACTTTGGTGGAGACACTATGGAAAATCTATTGCATCAAGTATTCAGAGGAAAGAATCTAACCAAGACTATAAGAAAAGTTACCAGAGCATGTGAGATTTGTGTCAAAAATGACCCAAGGTCCAATCCTATGCCTTTCCTCTTGATTAAGCCATTTGAACATACAAACACTTACCCTGGGGAAGACTGGCAAATTGACTTCACTCAAATGCCACCCTATCTGGGGTATAAGTATCTGTTGGTTTATGTGAGTACATTACAGGGTGGGTAGAGGCCTTCCCTGTAGGATAGAAAGAGCTTTAGAGGTTTCTAAGACCTTTTTGAAGAGGTGCCTGCGTGGCTCAGTCGGTTAAGTGACTTCAGCTCGGGTCGTGATCTCACAGTTCGTGAGTTTGAGCCCTGCATCAGGCTCTCTGCTGTCAGCACAGAGCCTGCTTCAGATCTTCTGCCTCCCTCTCTCTGCCCCTCCCCAGCTTGCACTCTCTCTCAAAACTAAACAAATATTTAAAAAAAAAAAAAAAAAAAAAAAAAAGACCTCATTAAAGGAAGTCATACCTAGGTTTGGACTTCTCCAGAATCTGCAAAGTGATAATGGCCCCTCTTTTGCTGCTAAAATAACACAACAATTATCAGTGACTCTAGGGATCTGCTATCAACTCCATGCCTCATGTAGGCCTCAATCCTCAGGAAAAGTGGACAAAACGAACCATATCCTTAAATGAACTCAGGCAAGACTCTGCCAACGAACTCGTGAAACATGGTAACAGATGTTACTGATGCTTTGCTAAGTGGTTCCAAGGAGGAGTCTTAAATTGGGCCCCTTTAAATTAAAATATGGAAGACCTTTTCTCACTGCAGCTCTATGGTTTGCTGAGGAAACCAACCAAATTTTAAAATATATTAGTAGTCTGGGTAAAGTACTAGTCTCTCCAAAAGCATGGAAATAAAATACTTCCATATCCCACTGAAGACAAGCAGTCTGTGCCAATACTAGCAGGAAGGTACCATTCAAAACAAGGAAAAGGGGGTCAACTGAAGATCAGCTCGAACCACGGTGGGAAGGGCCCTGTCAAGTTTGACTCAGCACCCCCACAGCAGTAGAGTCAAACTATCTCCAGCTGGGTTCACTTGTCCAGAATCAAACCTATCTCTCCTGAGTCTTTACAGGAGCCAACTTTGATACCGCTTCCAAGGGAAGAAGGAGACACATATGCCTGTGAGTCTGTCAACGATTTAAAATATCTTTTCGAGAATATACCTGCTGCAGTGTCTACCTGAAGCTCCTAGCACCTACCCATTCCTGAGAACCCGAGGAAAAACCCCAAGTTGCTGCTCTGAAGGACCAATAAGTAAGGCTCGATGAAGCTTTTAAAATCTTTCACTTTTCTGAGTTTACTCTTTCCGTATCTAGCTCTAGGGAAATTAAACGGCCCCAATTTATTTTTGCAATGGGCTCAAAACTACGCTGATAATTTACAGAAAAGTTCCTGCTGGATTTGTGGCCTCCTCCCTTTATCCAGCACCTCAGGCCTCCCTTGGTGGGTTTCTCCTTTGCAAGGCACAGACTGGCATTACTTATGCCAATACATAGAAGATATGGTTTTCAGCCCAAATACGAGCATATATAGTGACATCTCTATCACTAACAGAAAGGTTTCTTATTGGCCTATGGTAAATACCACCTGGAATTCTCCAGGCCATGAAAGACCTTTTTCCTACACCCAGACTGCCAAAATCATGAATGAATATGCCAACGCTAATATTGAAAATAAACGAGCATTGTGGGGAACAATTAAGCCTAACAATATGAGATATACTGATGATGGCTATTTTCAAGTATGGGATGAATTTATGTGGCTTACTCCTACCATAGGTCACTTAAATCAGAGAGCTCTTTTGTGTTGGGAGCAAAGAAATCATACCTATGATGCCTGGCCTAACAGTACCCGTGAATTAGGATGGCTCTCCCAAAGAGACTGTACCCATACCATTGTTTTACAAGCAACTGACTGGTTTGCCACTGACTGGTTCAGACGGCCAAGCATCAGGTGGTTGGCGCCTAATGGAACTCAGTGGCTGTGTGGCGCAAATTTGTGGCCCTGGCTACCTCCTGGATGGATAGGGCGCTGTACCCTGGGCTTTCCCTGGATGCAAGGGAGTTGGCATAAAGAAATACCGAAGCCTGCAAATTATCCCTATCTACTTCATCGCTGGACACGGTCAGTCTTCCACTGGTATGATCACCTGTTAAGTATTTTCGTGCCTCAACTGGGAATAGAAGACATAATATGGCATGTAGAGGCCCTCACAAACTATACCGCAAAAGCCCTTAATGATTCTATGCGGGGACTGTCGCTGTTAAATTCTGAAGTTACATTAATGAGAAAGGCTGTATTACAAAACAGGATGGCCTTAGACATACTCACAGCAGCTCAGGGAGGAACCTGTGCTATCGTTAAAACTGAATGCTGCGTATACATCCCAGATAGCTCAGCTAACATATCCGACGTTTTGGCTGACATGCGCACCCAAATTGAAGCAATGTCTGATGCCTCTGGTTCCCTCAATGATTGGATTTCTTCCTGGTCTAGTGGAGGTATATGGGCTTGGTGGAAAAAACTTCTTTTACTAGCAATAGCAGTAGTTATGCTAGCGTTTTTTCTCTGCTGTGGGGGCTACTGTTGTTGCATGCTCTGCATGAATATGTCAGAAAAATTATCAGAACGGGTGCTCTTTAGGAGCCATTTTATTCCCAGGTTGAAGCCTCACGTACACCTTTGACAATCCACAACTAGGGGCCCTTCATTTAATTGGGATTTTTATACCTCCCAGTAGGTAGGGTCTTCGATCCCTTTCAGCCTGAAGAAGCTACAGAAGACGAGACCTTCACCCTTCAACACCCCTTAAGAATAAGGAGGATAAAAATCCCATAGCAGGCAATGAGACAGGGAAACCGAAGGGAAACCATGAGAAAAAAGTTGGTTTTCTTTTTCATTTTGCTTCTTTTCGGGCTTCTGTTCTTGCTAGGACCTGCCCTGCCTTAATGTATGTCCTCCTTGTAAGGCACAGAGTTAATGATTTCTTTGGAGTCTTCTAGCACAATACATAACATCTAAGGAGTGACCAGGCGAGGCCATTATGTGCATATGCCAGACCACTGTCACTGAACACCTTGATGCCAAGACCCCCCCGGCTCCATGGAATAAGTGATTTATGCTGGTCGCCTAGACCCTGTCTTCGTTCCGACCGGTTTGGGGATGCCTGAGAAGACATGTGCACCAGATCCCAGTCGTCAATAAAACCCAAGGCCCCAAGCAAAGACTCCCTCTTTTCCTTTCTGAGTCTCGCAGACACTCCGTGTGTATCTGCTCTCTCTCTCTCTCCCTTCAATAAACTCTGCTTTCACCTCCTGCTGGCTTGTGTTTGATTTCCATCCTGTGTGAAGCCAGGGACCCTCTTGGCTTATCCTGTGGGACCCCTTCTGGGTCCTCAGGCCCAGGCTGCCTGCATTAATATGAACTTATACATAAAAAAATCCTGAAGACTCCACCAAACACCACTAGTGCTAACTAATCAACCAATTTGGTAAAGTTGCAGGAAACAGAAACCAACATAGAGAAAACAGCTGCATTTCTATACACTAGGAACAAAGCATCCGAAAACAATAAGGAAAACAATCCCATTTACATTAATATCCAAAACAATAAAATACTAAAGAATAAATTTAACCAAGTGGATGAAAGATCTGTACACCGGTAAGATTTTGATGAAGGAAACTGCAGAAGACACAAATGAAAAAATACCCCTAATTCGTCAGAAGAAATAACATTGTTAAAATGTCCTATTACCAAAAGCCATCTATAGATGCAATGTCATCCCTGTCAAAATTCCAATGGCATTTTTTACAGAAATAGAAAAACCAATCCTAAAACTTGTATAGAGACACAAAAGATCCTGAATAGCCAAAGCAATCTTGAGAGAGAACAACAAAGCTGGAGGCATTACACTTCCTGATTTCAAACTATACTTCAAAGCTACAATAATCAAAACCATATGGTACTGGCATGAAAACAGACACATAGGCCAATGGAACAGAATCAAGAGCACAGAAGTAGATCCCTATATATTTGACAAGGGAGCCAAGAATATTCAATGCAGAAAGGTTAGTACTTCAAAAAAATGGTGCTGGGAAACCAGATAATCACAATGCAGAATGAAATTGGACCCTACCTTATGTCACTCACAAAAGTGAACTTAAAATGGATGAAAGACTTAAATTTAAGACTTGAACCATAACACTCATAGAAGAAACATGGAGGGGCATCTGGGTGGCCCCGTTGGATAAGCGTCCGACCTCGGCTCAGGTCATGATCTCACGGTTTGTGAGTTCGAGCCCCGAACTGGGCTCTGCACTAACAGCGCGGAGCCTGCTTGGGATTCTCTCTCTCTTCCTCTCTCTCTGCCCCCTCCCCTGCTCCCTCTCTCTGAAAAATAAAGAAACGTAAAAAATACGTATATGGAGAAAATCTCCTTGACATTGGTCGTGGCAGTGATTTCCTGGATATGATGCCAAAAGCAAAAGGAACAAAAGCAAAAATAAATGAGACTCCATCAGAGCTGAGTTTGCTTACTTATTTGTTTACTGACTTGGTTGGAATATTTTATTGACGTTTATTTCTCTCCAGTGTGCAACCTCTGATGTATCTTAGAGGGCACAGTCTTGCGTGGACAGTCACTCCTCGATGACACAGGTTTTAGCACGGTTCTCCTTAATGGTCTCTTTCTCTGACCCCTCTGCTAAGCTTTCTGCTCCTGTTGGTATCACAACCACATGTTAGACTCTACTGATTGACAGGTGATTGCTCTATTGTTTTTAACAACATCCAGAGGCATAAATTGTACCAGTCTGATCCCATTAAATTTTGAATCCTTTACAGAAGTCATTTTTGAGGCCAGTCTTTGAAACATGTTTCAACCCCAGCAAGACTTTTCTTAGCTGTCTCTTTCTCTGTTTCTCTGGGAAACGAGGTGGCTTCTGGTTTAGCTAGTTGCTCATATGAAGTTAATTGCCTCCTCTTAATCATCTATCATTAAAATCTCCATTGTTTTAGAGAACCCCATCAGGCTTGCACTTTCCCACGTTCCATTTTTTTTAATGTTTGAGAGAGAGAGAGAGAGAGAGAGAGAGAGAGAGAGAGAGAGAGACTCTCCCCCCAGTAACCTCTGGTTGGGGACAAGAACGTCTGGTGTTCTCAGCTTGCCTCTCTCCCAGTGAGGAACTGCCACTCCATGAGCAAACCGGGGCGAGGGCAGTGGGGACCCAGTATATTCAGCCTGTTGAGAGCAGGTAGCGTATTTGGAGCCGAGGCCTGCCTGAGAGTGGAGGCTAGGTGGAAGAAGGGAGCCTCTGACTTCTTGCCAGCAATATTCTGGAAGTTCGCATCTGCAACAAAGAGCTAAAGGATATGAGAAAAACTGGCCACCTACACTTTCTGTAGAGACACTGTAGCCCTTGACTGGAAGTTAGAGGGGAAGGTAACCCCATCTTCTAGGTCACGCTCAGATGAACTGAAGCTTCTGTCACGTTGATCTGGGGGCAAGGGGAGGCAGAGAGCATGTCATGGCTCAAGTGACAGAGACGGTTCTTACTGGGATTTAGTAGCCTTTCTTGAATCTTATTTATTTATTTTTTTTCTGACTTGATGTATTACCTTAGGACTGTCTTCAGATACCTTAAATCTTTTTTAAAACATTTGTTTATTTTGAGACAGAGAGAGAGAATGAGCAGGGGAGGGACAGGGAGAGAGAGAATCCCGAGCAGGCTCCACACTGTCAGCGCAGACGCAGGCTTGACCCCACAAACCGTGAGATCACGACCTGAGCCGAAATCAGGAGTAAGACACTTAACAGACGCACCTAAATATTTTTGTTCCTAAGATAATTTTCACTAGTTATGGTTTTTCTGCTGGGGATGGTTCCATGGAGCTCCTTATGCTTCCATTCCAAAAGTGATCATATCCACTCAATTTTCTTAAGGTTAGAGGTTGTCAGTAAAATAACATTAATATATAAACGAATCATTAACTTTACCTGTATATTTGAAATTTTACTGATTACTAACAATTAGGCACTGGGGTACATATCAGTCACATAAGTAAATAAATTCAGACTTTTGTGTTTTCTAAATTTTAATACCTATTTTTATATTAAAATGGAACTTTAGGTCTTTATTTTTTATCACATATTTGAAATCATTAAAGTTCTCTTAAAATTATTTTTAGGTTATTACAAATATTAATTTTATAAATGAAGTCTTTGGATTTCAGTTCTGGGAATGAATACTTAATTAAAACTTGAGAAATTCTTACTTAACTCTAGCTTTTTCTTAAACAGATGCACACTACCACCACTATCATTGACAGAAATCTGCTAATCCAAACAGCTGGAACTGATTTATATTTAACCAAGCTGATATTACTATGTGAAAACTAGATATCTTCTCCATGGCATTTATTTTGACACTCAAAATCAAATTATTAATATAGATGTGTGATCTTTTTTTTTTTTTTTTTTAATTTTTTTTTTCAACGTTTATCCATTTCTGGGACAGAGACAGAGCATGAACGGGGGAGGGGCAGAGAGAGAGGGAGACACAGAATCAGAAACAGGCTCCAGGCTCTGAGCCATCAGCCCAGAGCCCGACGCGGGGCTCGAACTCCCGGACCGCGAGATCGTGACCTGGTTGAAGTCGGAAGCTTAACCGACTGCGCCACCCAGGCGCCCCATAGATGTGTGATCTTTAAAAAAAACAAAGAATATCATCTAGGCAATTCTATATCATGACTTCTTTTCTACCTATAATAAGATGTTTTAATTTCACTGGATATAAAAAAGACTTAGGTAAGGACCCGAACATCTACAACATCAGCATGTGAGGTGATCAAAGAGTAATCAAGACACTTCAAACTGACTTCAAAACGTTTAATTATTTATTCAATACTTTTAACAGAAAAGTATCATATAAAATGTTGTTTCTAAACACCGTGGGACGGCTTCAGCATGAATGTGACCCCTAGGTTAAGAATCTGTGCCTGTACCTGTCCTTGTGCTAGCAGATAGGACCAAAACAAACGGTCCACGCACCCACTTGAGAACTCTTACTCTCCCACCCAATCCCACATAAGAAAAAAAGTTAACCTGATTCTAAACTTAACGACATTTGATAAAAAAATGAACATGGCTTGGATTTTGGCAGAATTCAGCTAACAACAGAGAATTCAGCTAAAGTATGCTGAGTTAGAGCACTTAAAACAAGAACATTAGATGCTTTGATTTTTCAACTTACCTGATATAAATAGTCTTCAAATACAAAATAATAATCATCATTGCTTGCTGTCAACTTCACATCCTATAATTAAAGGTAGAGAGTCTTGAAAAGAACCTAAAGGTATAGGTCTGTAGTACTATGATAGAAATGCAATATCTAGAAACAATACTGTAATGATCTTACTTATGTATGATGATAAATGTCTCACTCAGGTTTCATCATTGCTATAAATATACTTTATATGTACTTTATAAGTAATTTATACTTATAAGTATATAAGTATACTTTATATACTTTATACATATACTAATATATGTGACACATAATTACACCTCAAATTGCTTACAACCTTTTAGGTTCCATTAGTAATTCCTTATTATTTATTTCAATATTTATCTTCTTTAAATCTAATATTTAATCTTATTTAAATCTAGTATTTAAGTGTCTTAATGTTGGAAAAACAGATACAATCATAACATCCAGAAGTAATCATAACAATCTGGCCCAAAATTAGTTCCCAAATCATCCTCTACTGTTCAAGTTTACATTCTTGACATTCCCTTGAAATACCAAACATCTTCCACCCCTTTGTGATTATTCATTTGCAAGTCATTGCATATTACCCACCAAACAAATGTTTATCTTCAAGAAGTCTATAGTCTTACCAGCAAGAATACACACACAGTAAAAATATGGGAACAGTTACAAAGAAATATTAAAGAAATCCAAGATAATATTGCTCAGTCTACAAATTTCAACCAGGCTGTTGAGCAAAGGATCCATTAAGGGAGGAGGAAATGGGTCATGGATGCCTCTGGAAGGCGTGAATGCGCTCTAAGTCTAGAAAAAGTTAATTATAAAGACATAAATTAAGAGGAAAGAAAGAGGCTAGTCTTCTAAGTCAGAAGACAACATGGGCAGAGGGGATGATATTGCCCCTAAGGGGATGAGAATTAGTTCTCGGAAGCCAAAAAGTTTTACATATTATAATGGTTTATGGACCTCCAAAGCTTGTCTCTGTCCAACAAAATTTTATTCTTTGGTATTTAATTTTTTTATATTAGAGCAAAATTAATGTTTTCTCTTTAGGGAGTTGATGATGAAGAAAAGGTTGAGAAACACTGGTATAAACTGGTATAGTAAATGATGGAAAACTATAGAAGGTGTGGCTACCACACAACTTTTGTGGGAAAAAAAAATATAGTCCAGAGAGAACCATTTAATAATTTAGCTTAGGGAAGGTTTGATGATGTTCCAAATTTAGTGCTGCCTTGTTCCATTCATTCCTTTAACCACTAACATAATCTTACTTTATTTTCTGATAGATTAAAAATTAGTGTTTGCCATATGAAACTGTCATGAAATTTCAAATAATTATCTTAAATGCCCACTCCCTTAAACGCTGACTTTATAACATTTGGAGTTGCTCCAACGAGATCGGCAAAGGTCAACACATACAAGTCAGAACAACAAGAGACAGGTATCTTCCTAAAAATATTCATGCTGTGGACAGTCAGGATTGATTCTACCAAAACTTACATCCATTTCTCAGATACAAACTGTTTACCTCTTTCTCACAACAGATTTTCTTTACTGATTCAAACTGAAACTCATGTTGGCAGCAAAGAGAATCCTCAGCTAGCACTCCCTGATTTTCTGAACTTCTTCCCTTTTTGGGCTTCTTTCATTTGAATAGAAAAGAGGTTGAAAGGTCTTAAAGCCCAAAAGATCTCTTACGCTGTTGCTAAAATAATCCCCTGAGCATGACTCTTTGACCTTAAACTTAACAATAGTACCTGTGATCCAAATCTACGTAAAACTTCTGAGTCAAGACTTTGCTTCCTGTAGAGAATAGTGATTTTAAAAGTATGGTTGTGAAGTCAGGTCACCTCCATTCAAATCTTAGCTTTGCTAGTTAATATGGGAATTTAATTAATTTCCCTAATCTTTCTTCACTTCCTTCATCTATAAAACAGTAAAATAACAGTACTTCCTATTTTGCTATAACGCGTGTCAACATGTGGCTGGTGGGTAAGGGAACGCTGTCTGTTACAACACGGAAATTGTGGTGGTTCACATGCAACTTTTCTTTTAAACAGGGGAGCCAGGATGGCAAGAGTAGAATTACAGCCTTCAGCCAGAAGGGAAAAATGCCTTCAGCTCAACTGCTGTACAGGCATGAGCCCTCATAATCGTATTTCCAGAAAATTCAAAACGAATGATTATACGAGGGGATCCCTCTGCAGAGAGCCATACCCCTGGCCCTGCACGTCCCTTAGCTGCTAGACTCCCTCTTGTGCCCACCTTCACAGCAGCCCCGGGGCCCAGCACACCACTTCCATCTGCATTAGTTTAGCATTTCTACTTTATTATATTTGTACATTTTCAATAGCTTCTCTAGGAGCAGCCTGTCTGAGTTGTCTAATCCACCTTCCAAACTAGCAGTAATTGTTTTTGTTAGGACTCTGGTTACAAAGTTGCAAAATTACCTCAATCCTATTTTTAGCTCTATTATCTTTAATGCATGATGTTACAGAATGTAAGGCTTTTTCCCTGGGGCCGGGGGGGAATGCATTTATCTAAAAATGATACCTAAGTGCTGGTATCTGCTACTGTTAAGGGTAGTTTTTGGATCCTAAACAATTTACATAAAGAGTTTGGAACACTGTATGGCACATAGTAAACAGTCATTAAATGCTAGTAGCTACTATTTTTATTAACCTTGGTCACGTTCCACCCACAAAAATCTTCAGATACTCCATGTGTAACTTTCTCTCCCCCCATTCCTGAGAGATGAACTAATATGCCCTCCTTCTCTATCTTACAAGTTCTAAATTAAAAATACACAAGTCTTTTAAATAGCCCAATTATTAATCCAGAATCAGTCATATCCTATATCATGCTAATACCTCTACATCTCAACCCTCAACTCGGTATCAGATGCTTGGACACAAAAACTCAGTGTATCCCTATCATGAAACTTGAGATGTGCTTAACCACATGGCTAGAAACTACAAAAAATTAAAAATGAAAAATGACTTCAATACAAGAGAATAAACAAGTAGGCCCTAAAGAATCAGGATAATAAGATAAAAATATCAGTCTGATTTTGACTCTGAAAAATATAGTCTGATTTTCCTTTCAGTTGCATTTTTATTGGTCTCTGTGGATAACTTGAATTTATAGGAATAAGAAATGTTACCATTCTTTTAATCAAAAAAATCAGAGTACCAGTAAAGTATCATGAGGACAACTTCAAAAGGAAAGAGGATAATATTTACTGGAGACTACAAATTTTGAAGATGAACCTTAAATTTACAAGTACAATGACCACTTACAATTATTTTTCAAGGTTAATCTATATTATCATACAAAATACAGGCCCTGCATGTTCAAGACTCTCAGTAATTGTTAAATGGTATTTCTGAAATGAAAAAACTATACACTTTTACTTACTTTATAGATTAGACTATCCACCAAAAGGTCATGTTGTATCACATTGGTCTTGAGCTGCTCATAATATAAGATATCCTAGATTTAAAAGTAAAACAAACAAATAAAATTAAAGGTCAATCACATTTATAGAGTCAGCCTCAAGTTTTAATAAGTAATAATCATTAACAGTATTATGAACTCTAAGAGGACTTTATTTTATTCACTACATTCTCCATGCCTAGCTAATGAGACACTTAATAAATATACTTAATCCCATCACTTAGGATAAGATCTGAGCACCTGGTGGGTATTCAATCAATGCTTCCTAAATTAATTAGCTGTAATTTAACTTTAATAGCAAATATTTATTAATTACTAGGTGCCAGAAACTGTTTACCCACCATACATGAGTTAACTCATTTAATCCCATACCAACAAAATAAAATAGTTCACTGATTACTATTCCAATTTTAAAAATTATTATTCCCATTCATATTTGAGAAACAGACACAGAGAAAAAAGTAACTTGCTGTCCAAGGCCACAAGTCCTTCAAAAACCCAGAAGGACTACTCTGTACTGTTGTTCTAGTACCTAAATTATCATAAAATAAAAAGGTTAAACATAATAAATCATCTCTGCTAGTAAATACAATCACAGAGCATACAAAAGAAGTCAGTTTTTTTAATATTAGAATATGGTTCCATAACACTATAAAATCTGATTAACTGTATACAGTGAAAAGATTAGGCTAATGTTTAAGTTAATAGAGAATAAGACCTAGAAAAAAGAGAGGGAAGATGGAAAGTAGAGAAAAAGATAGGAAAGGAAAAATATGAAAGGAGGGAGGAAGGGAAAAAAGGAGGAGGGGCTTGAAACTGTAATCCAGTTAAGCATCAGGTTAATAGTTGGTCAGGACATTCATTAAAAGAAGAAGAAGAAGAAGAAGAAGAAGAAGAAGAAGAAGAAGAAGAAGAAGAAGAAGAAGAAGAA